CATTGCATAAAAAACTTTCATGCAATCAGAACGAGTTGTGTTTCTACTTACCCGTTTAAATTGTGGGCAAAAGGTTGTCTGGATGAATTCTTCGAAGGAGGCATCCTCTGCAAAAGAAATAGGCAATTCGGCACTAGCTAGAAATTTAGCTAGTGCCTCACGAGCACGTTGTGCATCGTATGTAAAATTTTGTAACCCATGTGATGTGAGTGATAGTGTTTGTTGGCGGGAGTCCACACTCCCACCTTGGTGCAACGGTAGACATATTTTCCAATGTCTATCCAGATGACCAGTACCCCCACCCTTTTTATTTAGAAAAGTGTTTTTACAATATTTACATACCGCACGAATTTCCATCTCACCTGTTTTTAGATTTGGTCGGGGCTCCTCGGTGAAATGTTGCCATGCCGGAGAAGTTCGCGGTCTTTTTCCTCTACTGTGTTCTCCAGCTTCTTCGTTGTATACTGAAGCATTATCCACCGGAGCATTTTCTGGTTCAGTGGGGGTGGGGTTGGAAGGTATCATTTCTTCCTCAAAAAATGTCTCCTCACCAAGCTCAGGAAGAGCAGTGAAATCAGGAAAATTTGGTGAGGCCATTTTTTGGAAATTGATAGAACTTGATTGAACTTTGTAAATGAAAGAGATAGAAAATGAATGAACACGAGAAAAAAGCTTAGAATCAAAATCAAAGAGAGAAGTTGAGAGATAGAATGAGAGTGAGATGAGAAGATGAGAGTGAATTGTTGTGTGGGATTTATGGTGGAATTAAGGGGTATTTATAGGGGATTTTTGGGTTAAAATTCAGTTTTTTCCTGTTGGGCCCTTCGCGGGCCCAACGTGTGGCATGTGACGGGCCTCCCGTTTGGCCCATCACGTGCCAAACGGGAGGCACGTGACGTGCCAAACAGGAGGCACGTGACGGGCCAAACAGGAGACCCGTCACGTACCGAACGTTGGGCCCGTGAAAGGCCCACTGGACCAAATGAAATGGGCTTCTTCGTGGGCCGTTTCGCGGGCTTGGGCCGGGCCGAATCAGGGCTTGGGCCGGGTCGAATAAGGGTCGTGCCGCGGGCCTCCACGTGCTTGGGCCGCGGGCTGAGAAGTTAAGGCCCAGCCCTAGTCCATTACACGTGCCGTGCTGGCCCGGCCCGTAACAGTAACGAACCGGGCCGTGCCAAATCATGCACTATTACGGGCTGGGCCGGGCCGTCCATGGACGGCCCAACCCATTTGACACCTCTACTTAAGCTGCGATTTTAATGTGATTTTTCATTCCTTGTGACATAGAAAGAGAAGTTCTCTACTACATATCTACGCTTTCCTATGATATTATCTGCAGTATAAGTAAATTTTAGAATGTCGAGATAAAGGGTGTTTTGAAATTAGTTTTAAAATGATTCTATTTTTTGTATGAAATTGAAAATAAAAATGTTTTTAACCTCAGACATAAATCATTTTTGAAAGCGTTTGGTAGTTTTATTAAGAGATTATTTTTAATATAAGAAAAAATTGAAACTCTATTTGGTTATGCAATTTTCATTTTTAATTTAAAAGTACTTTGTTAGTTTATTTAAGCCCACACCCACTTACCTAAAAAAAAACATCCACCCAAAACTGAAAATGAAAAACGACTTGAATTCGTTTTCAGTTTTTGAGTCATTTTACACTAAACTGAAACCCGTTTTTGTTTTTGTTTTTTTCATCTTTTTTCCTCTAAACACGTTTTCCTCCGCAATCTCTGCTTTTTTATCTCAGAAAATGTGAAAAATGAAAACAGAAATGAAACCAAACATGCTCATAATTACCTATTTATTAGTGAGTTTGAATTATAATTTAAACTTTTTTATTATAATGTTTTTTCTTAAAAAAAAATTTGAATTTTTGTTCATTAGACAAAACGGACAAATAGATAATTAAATAGTTTAGGGGGCAAAGAAAACATTGTTAAATTTACCTCTAAAAATACGTGAGTCTGAATTTTTATTTATTATTTTTTATTATTATCTTTTTATTAATATAGTTATTTAATTAAAAAAATATTAATCAAGTATAAAAATAAAAATTATAGATCCATATATTTTTAAAGAGTATTTATGGAGATTTTTCTTTAGTAAAAGATACATTTCTAAATCCATTTCCATCCTATAACCAAAACATATAAAGGGAAGAAGAAAAAATAAATTAAACCTCACATTCAGATGGACATAAAAATTAAAAACACGGCAGAAAAAAAGATAAATAAAGAGAAGGAAAACTTTATGGTGAATCCTCACGTGTGACTCACAAGTAAAGTAAATATTTTTAAAGTGATTTTTTAGTACGCTTGACGTATTAATAAGTCATATTTTTTAATCGTTAAATTTACATATTTTTTTATTTTTATATAATTTTATATAAATTTAATGAATAAAAAACTTACCTAACGTACATAAAAATGTCATATATTTTTAATTGTTAAATTAAATTTATATTATAAATTTTCAATACGTTATAAAAAATTGTTTCATACCGTAAATTTAACTGATAAAAAATTAATCCAACGCTGAAAATACTTACTCAGCTGTGGGTTTATGTTTGAGATGGACCCTAAAGCAAGCCTAAAAGATAAGGCAGAAGAAAAGGTATGGACAGTGAAAATGAATCATAGCCGTAGATTACAATCGTGCGGTGTCGCCTGCCCATCACGCGTGTTCGGACCTAAGTAGCCGCCATTCATTTCCGAAAAAAGAAATGGGAAAGAAAATTGTGTAATTCAACGGTTGACCTCCGGCTTTGCAAACGACAAAAGAAGACGTGCATTATCGCTCTCGCCTTAGCTTTTTATCCTAGTGTCGTCGAAACGGTTATTGACACGTACGTGGTTCGGACGCATAAAAAGACAAGAAGAGAACGACGATTTTATACAGCTTTTTAGCGGTGGCATCGCCTCTGGTCTTTCTTTGGAGCCCGTTAAGCATCAACATATAATTGATGATAAAGTAGAAATCAACAACTCTTTCTTCTTCTCTCCTCTTTTTTTTTTTTTTTTTTTTTAAGTGCTTGATGAAACGAGAATTTAGGTTAACACTAATGATATAACAACTGAGCATTTTATTGGTTTCAGTATAAAAAAAAAAAAACACTTTATTGAACAATCAGATAAATTAAAAGCTCATTTAGTTAATGTATTTACTTTTATAATTTTAATTCTAATCCAGTATTTTTTTTATTAAAAATTTGCATATTGATGCCAATAATTCTCTCATAAAATTTCTATTAATAAATTAAAATTACTAATTTAAACACGTGAACAAAACAAACTTTAAAACGTTTTAGTTATCTTTACACTTCATCATTGATATGCCGATGGAATCCCGGAATATGACAAATTTCAGTCAGATCATCTTTAACTGTTTGATAAAATAGTAGCCATTAATTAAAAAATATGAAATTACACAAAAACAATGTGAATTGTTTAGCAACAACGGATAGGCTCCATGTCCATCAGTTACCATCCAACATAAAAATAAGAAACTGATCCAGATGTGTCATGTTGATTTAGGCTCATTTTGTCCCAGAGTAGGCTCGAGAACAAAAAAATACCATCCAACCAAAACTAGGCGTTAAGCATGATATGAAGTTCAACCAACAAGTAATAAGGATGTATTTTCTTCGTCTCCTTTTAAGATGTCCCTATATTCGAATATTGACAGCGTGAGTGTGTGTCTTGCCAGGCAAATAGATTATGCATTGTTGGACCCATGGTGGTTGCCCGAAACTAAACATCCTTCGACTACAATTGGGTTATGCCTTTTCCATTCAATTGGTCAGCCTTGGGGCTTCATCTATAAACAAAAGAGGGATAAGAGATGGGATGAGACTAGCCAAAAAAGAAGAAAAAAAAAAAAAAAGTTACAACTAATAGTGTTAGCTAATAGAGAGAGGACAGGCGCAGGTGGGTTTCGGCGGGAAGTCTAGCTTGGCATTGGCATCTGTTTAGTTCCATTAACGCATGGTTCGTTCAAGCTGTGCAATGTGTATGAGAAAATAGCAAGCATGCTCAACGTGTCACGTGCCAATTCAATGAAAGACCCAGAGCTCTCTACATATTCTCCAGAACCAACCCACATGAACTCTAACCCAATCTCAAAAGCAACAAAACTGAACATGTGTAGGAGAGGCGGTTTTACTCTAGAAAGCTATTCCGGGAAGAAGATACTAGTGGTGGCACGACGCTTTTTAGACAACAATTAAGGATTTATCTTTACTAGGCTCTGGCCTTTTCAATATATACCATTTTCAACGTTTAGTAAGTTCTTTTGCTTGAGTTTGTTACTGGCTAGACATCCAGTCATGCACAATATCGGTTAGATCTTCAACAGCCTTATTTGACTCACCACACTATATCAATTATCAACAACTACTAATAGGACATGATCTGGATATCGAAACATGAGTTAAACCAGCAGAGAAGGATGAGTTAGCGCGAGGTTTTATTCAACTTTTATGTCAAGTTCCTTCCCCACCACAGCTTTTGATCATTTACATGTTGGTTCATAAATAATCCAAGGTGAATATCACCAAAGTTTTAAAAGAGTTTCACGCCATATCCAAATATTGTGAAAGTGAAATCATAGAATGGCTTTTCTTTAGATGTAAAATTTAGAACATTCTTAAATCCAGAACCCTTTGACCATTATTTTTATTTTATATTTATAATTGAGCATTGAGAATAGTATTGTGGATGAGAAGACAACATTTTGAAGTAATAACACTCTTACTTAGTAGCACCAAAATCCAAAACAAATTGCACAAAATCAAAGGATCTCTTAGTAACCCGAAACAATAGGGCAAATTGGAGCACTAACCATTCATCCCTCGTATTAATTATTATTCTTTTTACACAATATTTAAGAATGTGATCAGCCAAAATACACTTACAACACTAATTGCTTTCCTCCGCCAGTACTATCTATCTGGTCCTACCAATTATATACAAATAAATACATCTTTACTACCTCTATCTTCTAAATCGGGAACCTTTGTTTGGTCTATTCCTCTCATCCCATGCAGAAGTCCAGAAGAACAAAGCCATCCAGAAGAGGACAGCAAAGAATATCTGTATTCTATCCTGAAATTTAGAAAAAGATGCTGCAGGACCTGCTCCAACAAGTAGGTAAAGAAAGAGGCTGGTCAATACCCAACTCCATGTTCAAGCTTCTTTTGTATAAAAAGAGGTCTAAGAGACAAACTTGAACCTAAAGTCCAAACATCTCTAAACATTACAATATTGAAGCAGTCACAAAGCACAACTAGTTCTAGAAGAAAGAAGTTCCAAAATGTTTAGGAGGGCACAAACTGGTTTCAATAAGATATATACATCTAGCTAATAAACTCGTCTACATTATATGATTCTCAATAAGATTCGGTCGAAGGTAGGCCGAGGAGGAGACAGGTATAGGAGTGAACATATAAGAAAACTCATTAGCCATATTTCTTACCGATTCTCCATTTTATCCTCTAATTCCAACAAATTTTACAATTTCACATATATCCCTCCCAGATGTAAATATAATTTATGCTCTTCTCAACAATAACGCAGTAAAATAAATGAACAAGCACGTATTATTATGTTTAGTTACGTGTGATAAATGAGTTTTGGACCTTGACTTGCCCATAGCAAACCCACTCGTTCATCACTTGTGATAAATGAGTTTTGGACCTTGACTTGCCCATAGCAAACCCACTCGTTCATCACTTAAGCCAAGCTCTTACATTCATAATGTCATACAATAGACAATAGTACAGTCGCATCATACAAGAACAAGATCAATGCTTGCTTAGGGGGGGGAAAAAAAAAAAAAAAGCCTCTACTATCAACGTTGATCTCTTAAAAGCAAATTGTGTTTTGCTTTTTTTTTTTTCTTTTTTTTTTAATAACACTTTCTATGTTCTCCAACACTATTCATTTCTCCTTTGAAGCTTCTACTTTCTTGTTTCTTTTTTTTTCCCCTGCTCTCTCTAATCTGTTTTTTACTTTGGCCATAATTCTCATGAGACCTGTTTACGCACATGGAAAGACCCCTTATTTAACTAACCACAAAAACAACTCACAGTTTTGCTCTCTCTCTCTCTCTCTCTGTTCTTTATATAACGAAAACAAAAATTGCCAATTGCTTTCCCAAACTCAAATAGACAGAATTGAAATAATATTTTAGTACATGTAGGATTGTAAGTTAATCAATAAGAGGATGGCACCACTCAATTGAATAAAGGTTAGCAAATTTCAAACTCTAACATAACTAATATGTTAATCAAATTAACAACATAACCAATTTCCATTACAGAAATATGGAAAACAATCCTCCATTGGAACTAAAATCCAGCAGAAATTCATATTCCACTCTATCAAAAATTCAGCTTTCCAGTTCGTATAATCAAATCCGCACCTTAAGTTCTACAAATCCTATCAAAACAAGCCAATTAATCTTCCAATTTTAAATAAATAAAGGAAAAACCACGGATTTCAAACCCGTAAAACCCTAGGACACAGACGACGAAAACGCGAGCTGCGTACCTGTGAGCCGCGGCGGCTCAGGAGGCGGGTCGGATTGCGGAGGCGGCGGAGGATGGCCGGGCTTGGCGGCGAAGCAGAGGCCGAGGCCGAGGACTGGACGCGAAGGAAATGGCGGAGCTAAACGACGTCGGAGACTAAACGGCGAGTGGAAAATGCAGTTTTGGGAATAACGACGGCGATGAAGAAGGAAACGAGTGCAAGGGACTGAGATGCCGATATGGAAGAGAGAGTTCTGGAATGGAAAGGATTCGTTGTTCGTGGTACTGTAGTGGGAAGCGTTTGCTACAAAGAGAACCGCCATTTTTGGTTGGTTGGAAAAGCTTTGGGTTTTCTAAGGAATTGGTTAGTTATTTTGCATTTATGTGGGGCTGTGTTTGGGCTGAGCTTGAAGTTGAGCCATAAACCCGATCTTTGGGCTCACTCCGGGGTTTACGTTCGGCCCAAAACAAAAGAAAGAAAAAAAATAGAGAATTTACCCGTCCACCTTTATCCATTAATACCATTTTAACTAATATAGTTATTTAATTAAAAAAATATTAATTAAGAGTAAATAATAAAAATTTAGGTTCATATATTTTAAAAGATATTTATCTCTTTTTCTATAAAAAAATATACATCATAGTCATTTTTTTTCCTGAAGGCCGAATGGTCAATCAATTATTATCCTTTCCTTGATATTTCAATTGTAGTCAATTATTTTTTTTTTGGAGTGGTCAAATCAATTACTATTTTAGATTCTAAGAACAAAAATAGAATTCTACTGTGGACACTCTATATCATATTTCAGTTTGTATACTTTTCCATTTTATGTAATTGGGCACTCTATCGGATTTTAATTTGTATATTTTTCCATTTTATGTAATTTTGGTTAGAAATGAGGTTTAGAAAGATTACCCTACTAATAGTGGTATCCTATTACGGTAATCCCACATAAAATAATTAAGCAACAAAAATATAGTTGGTAACCATTAACCACCCACCACACTTTAGGAAGTTCATAATTAGCAAAAAGGGTATAGATATAAACATTAATTAATGAATGACAATCATATTTTCCATGCAGGTCCAGGAGGTGGGGAAAAATTAAATAGAGGACTTGAACAGATAATTAGATAAAATATGCAAACATGAGAAGAAAAGGAGAATTTTGAATCTCTTTTGAAAGAAAAAGCAAAAGGGAAATGCGAACACGCACAAACTCGAATAGATTAGTAAATATGTAATATGTATCTAATAGATTATCATAATTAGCTAGAAAGATCTCATGGACATGGGAGAGAGAAAGAGGAATTACTTTGCCAACTAGAAATTTAATAAATACATGCATGATATATAATTTCTCCTTAGAAGTGTAGTACGTAGGAAGTGATAATCAGATCATGGTTGGAAGAGCTTATTTCCACATCTGCATTTCCATGAGAGAAGATAATAGCTGTCATCTTCCCCATGAGAGGATATCTCGAAACTACGCTTCTGGTGAGATGGAATGACCAAAGTAGCCCTACAAGGCCTGCAATTCATGCACTTGTTCACACACCCTGGAGGCCTTGATCCCAAGACCATTTTCCTTTTCTCTTCAGTACTCTCCCACTTTCTTGATGAGTATTGATCAAAACCCAGAACTGGAAAACCAAAAAAAGAGAAGGAAAAAAAAAAGATCTGAATAATTACTTGTATTAATTAAAGAGAGAAGAAGAAAAAAAAAAAAAGAGTACCCAACAGGGAATTAACACAGCCATGGAATCTCTCAACAGTTTTGGTTATAATTATATTACCTGGTTTGGAAGGAAGAATTGTGAGGGAAAATATGAAAACCACAGTGATCAGTAGTAGCACATGAGCTACTTTGAGGCGCTGAGGGAAGGTCCTAGTTGATGGAGCCATCCGTGAGATCATGATCAGTTTTCTTAAAGCCTAATAATAATAATATTAATAATAAGGTGGAATAATGTGTATTAGTTTCTGGTGCAAGTTACAGTGAAGAAAAGGGATGTTCAGAGAGAAGCACAGGAGAGATATATAGATCTTATTAATAAAAAAGAAAGAAGCTGTTTGTGTTAGATAGAAGGAAAAAAAAAAAAAAAAAAAAAAAAACAGCAGAATTAAATTATAATATTATTATCTTTATTTTGTGGCATTATTGGACAAAGGGTGAGGGCTGTTTCCTTCTCAAAAGACACTTTCTCTGATGCCATAACAATGTACACCAATGGAGAGTTTTTCACCTGTGTTGAAATTTGTCTTGGCCTTTTGGGAAACTGTTGCACTGACTCGAGGTTTTTAGTGAATTATGTCTCGGGTGTTTGGTTTTACTATTCCATGGTTTTCTCTTTGGTTTAGATGACCACACTACTGCTTATTTATTTACCATGTTACCCTTATTCAATGTGCAGAAATCAAAACAAAGACAACACTTGTAGCATTGATTAAAGTATTATACGTGGAAGACTTGCACTACACGTCCTTGCACCACTCATCATCAATAGTAGTATATACACATAACTTGTATATCTATATATATAATGGACACGGCACAATTTTCAGTTTTTTGTTGTTAAACTGTTGACTTGAATATATTGTTCAATGTTTCAATTTTTTTTTAAACTCCTGGCTTAAAAGTTTTAATTATGACATACCGGTAAATTCATTTAAATTAGTTTGTTTAGTAAATGAAACCTATATACAGAGTTACTGACATTGGAATATGGAAAAACTATTACTTGCGGCCTTCTTTTCTTTGCGTTATTATTATTATTATATTTTTTTTTTTTTTTTTTTCAGAACATAGGTTAACATGATTTTAGTATAACCAAATATGATAAAATCTAATAAAAATTTGACAGGTCAATTACTTACAAGTTATGATGTTTTTTACGTCAAATTCTGTTCGAGAATTAAATGTTGGAAATGTTAAGTTTAATGAAGTGATAACAAGAGAGTCTCTTATAACCCGCACATGCGCACTGTGAGCAATGAAGTTGTAGAGACGTTTTTGGCGTTTATTAGGCACTTAAAGAGTCTCTTATGGCTCGCACGCGCGCGGTGTGGACAGTGAAGCTGTAGAGGCGCTTTTGGCTCTTATTAAACACTTAAAGCGCTAAAAACTCTCTGATTAACACTTCATTAATACTCCACTTTATAAATTACCAATGTGAAACTTTGGTTGTCAAACTACTAACTTAAAAATAAAAATAAAAAAAGATTAAAAAAAAAAAAAGTAGATGGTGAGCATGGGTTGATTCTTGGCTTATTACTTAAAGGTGAAAAACAGAAAAAAGTAAAAAGTGTCTTGATCTTACTGTTAGAAAACAGTTGTATTTTTTTAAAAGAATCTAAGCAAACTGACAAGCTACCTCCAAGGCATGCAGAGAGAAAGTACAGGTGGCTTCCTCTGAACACCAGTAATATGAGAAGAACTGATAAGAGTTAAGAGAGAACTGCCAATTAAGTTCCTCTCTTTTCCCTTTTTCTCGATTCCAAAAAAAAAAAAGAAAAAAAAAAGGCCATCTTACAGCCTTTCATTACACCCACCAGTGACCAGTTTAACACTATAGCTGTTACCAGACCACTATATCAGAAGTGAAAGTTGAAACCAAATAAAGGAATAACAGTAGCTTGTTGGACTCGAAACAGGTAGAGAATTGGTATAATTATCTTCTTCAATTATTTCTTATTGTGGAGTAATTCACAAGTATTGAACAAGTAATAACTAACAACGTGAAATCCAAAACTTCTGTCTCCTGCATGCTGAACTGCAGTGGCCCTCTAATTCAACGTCCTTCCCAAAGAACTAGGCAACTCAAGAAGAAGTCTCTGTTCTCTTCTTATAGTCTTATTACTTTTACTTGTATCCATGACTATATATATATATATATATGTATGTATGTGTGTATGTATATCAGTATATGTGGTTGAGTCGTCTGCTGCTCAAATACCGACCATGTCACGCAATTTGGAGGACTCATTGGGAAGGAAACCATGACAAATTGGAAACTACAACTTTTCCAAACCAAACTAAAAAGCACGCTGTTTCTTCAAAGAAGGTAAGGAAATAGTGTATTTAGATTTGTGCCTATGAGGCAGGACTTCCTGTTAACATTTAGGATTCATTTAGTATGAGAATTTAAATTACGATGATTATAATTATAATTTTAGAATTATAATTAGAATTTATGATTTTAAGTTCAAATTATGATTTTGAAATTATGATTCAGAATCAGGGATTTGAATCACCTTGAATCAAGAGAGAGGTGATTTTATAATCATAATTTGAGTTAGTTTAAAACATCACATCAGATTCTGAATCATGATTCAGAATTATCCAAATCAAACACTGATTCTGAATCATTCTGAATAATGATTCAGAATCACTGTAAACAAACACTTATTATAAACTAAGATCTAGAATAATGATTCTGGATCTATCTACCAAACGAACCCTTAATCTATGTTTTTTTTTCAAAAAAAAATTAAAGCGATAATATTACACAAGCAAACATAAACGAAATCCACCAATACACATAAAAGGTCCATTTACTTTATTTAAGAGTAGATGGAGCTGGTTGAATTTGAACTCTTCCTGCCAAGCATTAATGTGAAATTGCATGCACAGATTCTTTTTCAGTTTTTGGCCTAACCCGCCCATACGAAGTCAAACCATAACGTGCACATAGAACAATCTTACAATGAAAGACATAAATGCAACTCATTTAGGTCTTACAAAATTGTGGAAACTAAGCCACGTTTATTTTATAAATTTAAATTTTTAATTCTAATTTTACTATAGTTAATTCTCGTAAAAAATCACATTTAATTTTTTTCTGTTATAATAAAAAATTTTCACATAAAATTATATCTCAACTCAAATAGAAAACTAACTGAACGAGACCTAAAATATCAATTCCAATATATATGTGTGTGTATAAGATTTAAAAGAACTCCAGAACGTTTTCTTTTCCTTCGCGTATGTATCTAGGAATCACTGCGCATTTATCAGAACAACAGGATTTTAAATCCACCTTCCCACAGGCTGTGGCGTTTTTTTATTTTTCTTTAAGATATATTATGATATATAAATGCTGATAATTAGTGTGGATATATATGTTAATAAAATTATGTGGCTTTCCAAACCAAACTAAAAAGCACGCTGTTTCTTCAAAGAAGGTAAGGAAATAGTGTATTTAGATTTGTGCCTATGAGGCAGGACTTCCTGTTAACATTTAGGATTCATTTAGTACGAGAATTTAAATTACGATGATTCTAATTATGATTTTAGAATTATAATTAGAATTTATGATTTTAAGTTCAAATTATGATTTTGAAATTATGATTCAGAATCAAGGATTTGAATCACCTTGAATCAAGAGAGAGGTGATTTTATAATCATAATTTGAGTTAGTTTAAAACATCACATCAGATTCTGAATCATGATTCAGAATTATCCAAATCAAACACTGATTCTGAATCATTCTGAATAATGATTCAGAATCACTGTAAACAAACACTTATTATAAACTAAGATCTAGAATAATGATTCTGGATCTATCTACCAAACGAACCCTTAATCTATGTTTTTTTTTCAAAAAAAAATTAAAGCGATAATATTACACAAGCAAACATAAACGAAATCCACCAATACACATAAAAGGTCCATTTACTTTATTTAAGAGTAGATGGAGCTGGTTGAATTTGAACTCTTCCTGCCAAGCATTAATGTGAAATTGCATGCACAGATTCTTTTTCAGTTTTTGGCCTAACCCGCCCATACGAAGTCAAACCATAACGTGCACATAGAACAATCTTACAATGAAAGACATAAATGCAACTCATTTAGGTCTTACAAAATTGTGGAAACTAAGCCACGTTTATTTTACAAATTTGAATTTTTAATTCTAATTTTACTATAGTTAATTCTCGTAAAAAATCACATCTAATTTTTTTTTGTTTTAATAAAAAATTTTCACATAAAATTATATCTCAACTCAAATAGAAAACTAACTGAACGAGACCTAAAATATCAATTCCAATATATATGTGTGTGTATAAGATTTAAAAGAACTCCAGAACGTTTTCTTTTCCTTCGCGTATGTATCTAGGAATCACTGCGCATTTATCAGAACAACAGGATTTTAAATCCACCTTCCCACAGGCTGTGGCGTTTTTTTATTTTTCTTTAAGATATATTATGATATATAAATGCTGATAATTAGTGTGGATATATATGTTAATAAAATTATGTGGCAGAATATTAAAAAAAAACCCAAACTATAAAAAAATAAAAATTATGATTTAATAGAGCTGAATGTAAATATAGGCCTCGTTCGTTTCGCTGATTCGAGTTTAGAATTCGAGTTTTATTACAGTAAAAAATTCTCACAAATAATCACATCTAACTTTTTTATTACAGTAAAAAGTTCTCACATACAATCACATCTCAACTCAAATTTTAAACTCAAATCATCAAAACGAACGAAGCCTATAATGATTCAGAATTTTAAGCTTACTCAAGTTTTTTTTTCCTTCTCCACCAGCAAATTAACCCGGGGGTGTATCACACCGCAAGGACACCCATAAGAAACATCCACGCCTACACAAATGTTGAGGAGCTTCCTTTCACTGACAGTGCATTAGTCGATTTCACATCAACCATCTTTGGTCATCTCAATATAGGACGGCCTCCAGTGGTCCACTCTGCATGGTTATGTACGTAGAAACTTGAAACCAACATATTCCATTAGATAATTATCCAAAAGAAAAACAAAAAAAAATACTGAAAAAATATATATTATCATCAAATGTTAAATAAAATAGTTCATTTTAAAAATTCACTCTCAATTATAGTTACAGTATCAATACGGTTTATTAAAATCTAAGGACTCAGTTTAATTTATGTGTTTAAATTAATGATTTTTAATTTTAATATTTAAATTTTAAATTTTTTATAAAAGAAAAACACTATAATATAATTAAAATTATAAATTTAAACGCATAAAATAAATGAATCTTAACTTTTGTTACCCCCAATTTACAAAACAGTAAACCAAAATTTCTTTCAATTAGGATTTTAAACAAAAATTGATACATATCATTTTGTGGTACAAAATTGAAGGTATTATGGTAATTAGGGCGGAGTTATTCATTGTCCAGTAGAAACGGCTTTCTTAATTTTATATTTTTATCCCTAAAAATCTTATGATATTTTTATTTTAGCTCCACTAAAATTTAAGATGTTTATACATGGCCCCACTCAACCTTACACTTTTTTAATCTTTATTTTCACGTATATATTTGATAGTTATTATAAAATATCATCACACATATTTCTTTTATTGTTTATTATAAAAAATTCAGTATACACTCTTATTAAAGTGGAATGTTGGCTCCGGCACTTATGATAATTATATTCTTTTTAAAAGCTAACTTAAATTAAAAATTATAATTATTAAGAAAAATATAATACTAGGAAATTGATACCTCACGAGTTATAATTGTTAGGGCGGGGAGGGATATCTGTCTGTGGTGGGGAAGCAGATCGCACGAGAGGCAAAGGCGGACTGATTTTGAGAGCGAAGGGTATCTTGCCAAGGAGTGGTTTTTGTATGTTTCAGTGCTAGATGGAAGGGATGAGTGCGCGGTGTTAGCCGGTGGGAGGCTTATAACGTTTAGAGCATGGAATAGAACATGAAATTGTGTTTATTATTATCTTTTACCAAATTAAGTGTAAAACGTGCACTTTCAAAAAAAAAAAAAAATTGCAAATTGGGATGATTGAGGGCAAAAAATAATTGTGCACCAAAACATTTAAGGAATCTTTACGGTGGAACAATTTATATTGTTCATTGCTCCACTATTGAGTTGGAGCAAGTCTTTTTAACTGTTAAATTTGTACAAATCAGTGTTAAAAATTTACAACATACCACATTAAATTACAACTATTGGGGATCTGACTGTTAAAAAATTAATCGAATGGTAAAAATACTTGCCTCACAATTAGGACAAAATAGCTTGCTCACTCCCTGATGTTTAACAACCATTATTATTTATGTGAAACATTTCTGTTACGTTTGGTTAATGGATTTAAAATCATGATTCAAAATTATTCTCTATTTATGTGTATTTTTTATGAGAAAAAATATTATAACAAGTTACGAATTATAATTCGAACTATAATACGAATTCTTAAACCAAACGTATACTTCATTTTCATTAAAAGTCATGAGATGTTATATTTTAAAATAGGGGTTGCATATAGTTAAGAGAAATAAATCCTAAATAAAACAATTTCAAGCAGAAACAAAGTGAAATAAGATGAAAAAGAAGGGAAAAGAAAACAGAGAATAGAAAAAGTATGCGTGACAAGACTGATATCTTACACGCTTTGGTGTTGTGGTGTACTCGCTAAACTGTTTAAATCATAATGATAACGTCATGCCTGACAGCCGACACGTGCCAGTGCGTCAGTGGTCTTTTCATTGTCCAGTCTCGTTCCTCAAACAAGGCTTTATCGTAGAATTGGAAGTGAGCTTAAGACAACTGAAGTAACAGTTATTTTTAGTTTATTTTTATTTTTATTTTTTGGGACGTGACTCGTCATCCAGATCCTGAATGAGTCTTGAATGGTTTTTGTTCACAAAAAGATAAGAATCTGGCCACAACGAGCACTTTCGATCAAATGCATTTGAAGTCTCATAAGATCATTGTTATAATACAATTTCCTGTTAATAATTGACAGCTCATAAATTGATTATTTTTGCATACATAAAGCCCATTCATTTCTCGTTGAATTGAGTATTTAAATTAAAAAATAAATTTATACAAAATAATATAAAATACTGTAACAAAAAAATTTAAATTGTAATTCAAATGGTAAAACAAAAATACCTGCACTGCACAAAATTTTTAATCAAGATGACGAAATATTTTGGGCTAGGGGCCGAAAGTCTTTCCATTTTCTTGTCTGCACACATGAATGAGAGAGACCCGAAGAAGTATGACACTGATATATAAGGAGATACAAAAATATGCCTCCGCATACTCATTCAGCCTCTAATATGCCTCCAAAAATATAGAGGTTTTGAAAGTTCAAAGCCCCATCCCCGATTTAATTAAAAAAATAAAAAAACAAGGAAAGTAACATGAGAAAGTGTTAAATTTTTAAGCTTCATGAAACTAAAAATACTACACATATTCCTTATGTGTCGTGAATATTTTATATTCATGATGGCAAGGAGTTTCATTTTCCTAATATTAAACGATGAATATAACTTGCCTTTTTGTTTAAATATTTGTTGCACAGGTAAAGATTATGTGTGTGTGTGGACTGAAACCTATACCGTGTATAGTGCACACTTATAGACCGATGACCCAGTTCCCATCACAGTCCAAGTCCAACCGATTCAGCAGAGGCAACTACGTGCCCGTGCCCTTGGTTTGCCTTTTCTTTTTAAATATAAAACAATTTTTGAAGGTTAGCGCCATTACTTTAATCCAAATATTTTAGAAACGAAACGTGGTAATTCCCAGGGGCCTTGATCAACAAACGGGTATGCTACAGAAAGAACAGCTTACTCATTCATGATTAATAGACAATTTTATTCACAATCCACAATCCTCATAAACCAAAAAAAAAAAGACACCCGACTCGAGTTCTCTTTAGCACAAACGGCAAACCAAAAAAGGAAAAACGAAAAACAAACACATACCCTCCTCCTAAGGTTCTACATTATTCCTCCTACTTGCATGGATCCACATATAAACACACAATAGAGATGGCCATATATATATATATATATATATATATATCAGTGTATTTGGACCTCCTTGACATCTTTTTTAGGCTTCTCGGTTCTAGGAATGGTAATGTTAAGCACACCATGCTTCAACTCAGCCTTGACTTCATCGGCCTTGGCATCTTCAGGCAAAACAAGGCTCGTATAGTAGTATTTGTACATCCTTGACTCGTCATCGGAGCCTTCTCCTCCGTCCTCCTCCTTGTGCTCTCCGTTGATGGTCAAAATGCCGTCGTGGACGGTGATCTTCAGGTCCTCTTTCGAAAGCCCCGGCACGTCGAAACGCAGCTTATAGTGGTCTTCTACCTCTTTCACTCGTCCCGACAGCGACCACGGCGACAAGTTTAGCTTCTCAAACAGCCTGTTTACGTTCTCCGTCGCTTGTATCAGTGCATTTCCAAGTCCAGAAGGACAGAATTCTGCCAAAATCATATACACAATATGTCAATATATTATTCTATACTGTAACCAATACATTTTAGTTAAATATAGTGGTAGTTTTTATTTAAGTTTCATGTCATACAATTTTCGTCACTTTCAAGTTCCAACACATGAAAAACAACTGGTACGTATATATATACTGCTCGTCATGACTAACAATTTGGTATTGATTGTGAATATAGTTTTCCACAAGCAACATGCGCGTAGAGTTAGCACACATGATAAAAACTATTACTGTGAAATTTATACTATTAGTCCTTTACGTGACAATTCGCAGCCTAGTAAGAAACTAGGTGACCACAAACATCATATACCAATACATATGTACATATACATATATATATATATACCAAAAATGTATGGGAAAAAATGTATAAAGAAAGGGAGAGAGCATTAAGGAAAGGGAAAAAATGTACGTGTACCAAAAATTTCAGTAGGAATAAACTCGCGGTCATGGCTCCTCCTCCAGAGGCCCCTATTGCGGGGTTTCCTTCGGAAGAGTGATCTAGACTTTTTGCCTTGATCCTCAGAAGCAGCAACCTCTTTGCCCTCAGATGTCTCGCCAGCCACCTTATCAGTCCCTTCAGTACTCATAAACCTCTTCGTCTCGACCTCCGTGCCACCGCTAACAGCGGCGCCGTGACTGAGCAGCCATGAGGCGGCGGCGGGAGAAGGGGGAGAGAGCACCCTTTGGTGCAAGGAGTTCCTCAGAGCCAAACGAGCCAAAGCCATTGACAACCAATATTATAATTAAGATTGTGTTAATGGCTAACTAGGTTGTTTATAAGAAGTTAGAAAAATAGTCAAGTTAGTTTTGCTCTGGATTGGTGTTGATAGAACAAGAAGTGAGAATTTTAAAGGGGAAGGAGTAGAAGCTGTTAGGAGATTAGCTTTGGATTTGGACAGTTGGAGAAGGCTCTATGAGGTTCTAAGAGGTGGTGGTGGCTTTTTTATTTTATTCATTTTTTTTTTCCTGTTCTTTTGTTCCAAGGGCTTCTTTCTTTTCGTTGCAATTCTTCTAAGAGGTTCTTGGTCTTTCTCAAACATACCACAGTGCAAATAATGACGAATTTGAAGAGCGTTCTGGAGGGAAATGCATCTGATGCCACGTCTTTTAACGAGAGAATATTCTGATAAAGAGTAAGAGTTCGTTTAGTTCATGAATTAAAATCATGTGATTAGAACCATTTTTAATTTATGTGTATTTTTTATGAGAGAAAATACTGTAGCAAACCGCGAATCATAATTCGAATCAAGAACGAATCCCTCTACCAAACATAAGAAAAACAAATTTCTAGCGGTGCACAAAGTTCTAAGCTTCATATAATTTTGATATTATCTAAATGTTTATATTAATTTCCCTTTTAGTTTTACTCTTCTCATGCTTTTATTACCGAATGTCAACAGATTACAATTCATCTTATCTATGGATTAAGCTTCTCCTGTTTGGGTATATAGTACTTAAGCTTTGAGTTGAAGAAAGTGAACAACGAGATAATTCTTTCTATAATATATATTTTTTAATAGAGTTCTTTGCATAACTAGAAAATTAAAAAAAAAAGGATTTTTTATTTGTTTTAGAGATACATCTGACGTGATAATACATGTACGCTGAACGTTTTACTTTGTTATAATGCAAACACGATTAAAATTTTGAGACCTTTTCCGGTACGTCAACATATAAGTAGACTAAATTTTTTGTCCGTCAGATCTGCATAAAATTATGTAAATGTCAAAAAATACGTAGATTTAACGGTTAGAAAAATCTGACTTACCGGTACGTCCAGAGAATCTCCCTAAAAGTTTATCCATTCCATTTATTCAGAGATAAATTTAATAAACAAGACTTTTATTATCTAAATAGCTCAAATTTAGGCATGAAGTTTATTGAAAAGTCAGACCTATAATTAGTATAGAACTTTATTTTCTCTATATTAACGCACTTGTACGAACTATAAAATCCCAATCATGAATCAACTATGAGTCTCTTCCTTGCAATCAAATTTAGGCATGTCCCGATTGCTGCATATATTATCACAAAACTATGTCATGAGGGGACAGAGAAAAGTATTTTTTTTGCTGCAAAGGGACAGAAAAAAGTATTTGTGCCCAATATTCCACATGGTTTTGACAATTGTCCACGAAGATAAAACATGCTATTGGGTTAAATCACCATCAATAAAATAAGCTCATTGAAAAAGAAACACTAGATCGCCATTATAGAAAATTGTTCCAAAGTCTTCCATTTTTTGAGGACCCATTGACAAATAGAGAAGGAGCCAATAACAAGACCTATGAACTCTTGCAAAATCTATCACAATGGACGGTGGAGAAATCCACAACCCAATAAATTACTTTCAAATTCAATACAAAGGGCACATCGAAAAGACCTCAAGAAGTTGACATCCAATACGAGCATTTTGATAAACATTGATCATGGTGGATATAAAAACCGCGCTTTTTTGCTTCTTCACCTATTTGCTATGGAGGCACAGGCAAGGAAAAATGGTACACCAAAGCTTAGATGAGTTATCAGAGAGCTAACCAGGCACCACCAACTATGCTCGGCTCAGTCATACATCCCCTCCTGTTCCCAGATGTCCACAAGAAAATCGACCATTTCCTATTGATTTCAAGCCCAACCGACCAACAACGTATTAGCAACAAGCATGGTGTTGGGATTCCAAAGGGTTGGTGATGTAAAGACTTACAGCAAGAGGAATAGGCTGAGGGAATGGCTTGTTGCTCCCGAGCAAACTCTCGTATGTCGCGTTCCAACTGCAAAGCCAGAATGATTTAACCATGCAGAGAGAATGAGTGCTGACAAAAGACAGGAAAACTAATTTAAATCCTACTTTGCAGAAAATGACATGGCCGAATTTACTTTCCCTA